GTCGTGGAAGGGATGGCAACCAATTAGTAAACTGACTTACCAGGCTTGTCTCATTCATCTAACTGTTTATTATTACATGTTTTTCACAACGAGACAAATAGTTTACTTAACAGTGGGGACAGCGGTATGTGGTTTAATAAATATTTATTTATTATTTTAAACTGAATTAATAGTATTTTTAAATCTAATTTATTTACTTCAATATTATTGCAGTTATTGGAGTACATATTGGGAGTGATTATCACATTTATTATCAGTTATTTCAGTTATGTGTTAATTGAGAGACCATTTATTCAAATTGCAAATGGATTCCTATAATTAAAACATATGTTTGTTGTTTGAAATTCAAATTTTGGAGCGTGTCTCATAGTAAACCAATGCACCACGTTTCATAAAAATCTTAATCTTATTACTCATAGAAATAATTGTCGCTGTTTCATATAATCGAGTCACATTTGTACACTATGTTTACTTGTATATGGTTTATTAATAAATAAATAATAACAATTTCTAGCTTAAAACTAGCTTTAAAAACGTGCAAGTTATAGTTAACCTGTACAGTATTTATGACTTTGCTTCTTTTGAAACGAGTGTTTAAAAATAAATAATTAACACCAGGTATAAAATTTTAAATAATTTTAATCATAAATCAGATTACAGTAAATCATTGTGTTCACTTAATTATTATTTATAAAACAAGTAAATCCTGCATATGAGTTATGCGTACATTTAGCTCAGGGTCTTTTTGTCAAAGAGGTACTCCCCGAGACCAGTGCCCACCCGTTTCAAGTTAGTCACGTGATCGCCCAGTTTCTTGATGTCGTCCACCTGTTCATGAAGATAGTTACTCTCAATAAAGTCAGTCAACTCCGGGTCGTTAGTCCTGTTGGCGATGCCCTGGAGGTCCAGAAGCGCCTGATTGACGGTGCGCTCCAACTGTAGGGCCGCTTCGATCGACTCCAATGGTGTCCACCCGTCCTGTTTGACAGGTTTGGCGATGTCTTGCAATACGATACGACCGCCCGTTTGTTCTGGTGCTCCATGAGCTTCCTGG